TTATATAACACTGAAATGATTGTGGTAAGGATTTAAATGATAAGAACAGTCAATTTTAGTCTCAGGTGGGTATAGAGGCGATATGGTGATGATGATGGTGATGATGATGATGATGATTGATGGTGATGATGATTAAACAAGGACATTGATCTTTTCTCTAAAAGAAATTTTCAACACTTCAACGGCCATCAAAATAAGAGGGGAAAAAATACTCAGAATAAAATGAAACACTCTTGAAACGTTCGACCATACTCCCCATCGGCTTATTGAACACATGAATGGAAAGGATGGGAAAAAAGAAATCGATTTCAAATTTGCGTTACTTACTTTCATTATCGTTCACACAACCCTTGGGGAAAACATCAACAAAAACTACAACACAGACCAGAAATCAGGGAGTCTCTGGACAGATTTTTGAAGTGACGAGCTTGCCTTTAAACTCGCGTTTGTTTTCAGAGGACAAGATGAAACGTGTCATTTGTCCTGTAATCTGGCGACAGCAGCTGGGAACACGAGATCGTTCATCCCAAGCTTCATCCCGGATGCTGCCCTCATCCCCCCCCCCCCCCCCCCCCCCCATAGCGTGCCACCATTACATGTAGTTAAAGGCTTGTGCCAAGATATTTTGGTCAGGTAAATAAGTTATATAAGTAAACGTAGACAGTTTTCTGAGGTAATGTCACAGGATTAAAGGAATGTTTCGGAACTAACTCAAGCATATTGCTTGCCGTCGCCGTTTTATGGCTGTAATCAAATCATGCAGCGGGATTGATTTGATTAGGGGCAAGGTATGTCTAGAACACAAAAGGAAGACACATCATGAGGGAGATGCATGGCAAGTGATTGATAACATCAACATTAATAAACTTTGTATCAATTCAATTATATTATGTGATGGCTTTGAACTGTTTGAATTGGTCTCCGGTGTAGGTACCTCTGGTAAGAGGTAATAGAATTATTCAAAACTTATCTTGTGGGTGACAAAGATTCTGTCTCGTGAAATGTGCATGTCGTTTTGATTTGTAGTCTCTTACGAAAATGTTTTGGAAATTATATTTCGTTCACTGTAAATAAAGGAGTTGCTGTACACACATTATATCTACTTTGTCGTTCTTCAACCTCTAAGAAATTTAAATGAGATTCACATTTCTCCCCAAGTTTCATATTCAACTGGTGTCATCTTCATTAAACTTAAAGATATGTCTGTTTTACCAGTTCTTGTTTCCTGCAGGCATGGTAAGATATTAAGACGTGTGTAATTTTATCCTCTGTATCAGGATTAAATCGCGAATTGTAATCACAAAAACGTCCAAAAATAACTTGAAATTGAAATAAAAACAAGGAAGACGTGTTTAACTGAACTTCAAGTAGCTATTTTGTGTTCAAGGGCGTATTTCAAACGGAAGATGGAAAAAAAGTTTTGATTAAATTTTCAAGTGCATACTCGGTAATAATCTAAAATCCAATATTGAGAAAATTTCAAGCGACTTCCCACGGAAGCCATCAACACGTGGCTTTTTTGTCCTCGTATTGATTGAACTGGCTCAAAGTAGAGATATTTACAACAGTTTTGTTTGTAAGCCATTTAAGCAGCGAGCTTAGATAAACTGCTAGCATGGACTAGCTGGATCATTCATACACTGTTAGCTTTACTAAAGTGCATTAGTGAAATTGTAATTGGCCATTAGTTAACACTGGCCACGTTGTTGTCGACGCGTTCGTTGTAATGGAGAAATGAGCGTGACGTGATACCCTAATGGGAGAGTCTTGCGAATTATCAAATTTAGAGTAGTTATATAGTGTACGTAAAAGTCAGGGATTAACGCGACAGTTATGATTGAGAGTCGTGTCTTAAGAACTACGAGAGTCAATACTTAATTCAATTTATGAAATAGCTCCATTAACATATGATAATTATAAAGAAAAAATAAAGCCAGATATTTTGAGAAATATTCTAAATAAACACTGCAGGAGTATGCTATATCAGAAACTAGCTCTGTACACCACGCCACTCACCTGTATGTAGGTAAATGCACAGGAATCTTCTGATTTAAATAATTAAATTGGTGTTCATTTTTACTATCAAATATTCCTAAAATAAACAGTATATATGGCGAGGTGTCTGGTATAAAAAAGGCATACTATTTCATTATTTTAAGAGAGATAGAGAGAGAGAGAGAGGAGAGAGAGAGAGAGAGAGAGAGAGAGAGAGAGAGAGAGAGATGCAGCATTGCCCCACTGAGTGTGAGCAAAGAGAAGCATGGATGCCTACAATGACATTAATGATGCCTGTCGCCCGCCGGCACAAAAGATGCACGTACCACTGAACTTACTTCTGTCTGGAAATACACTTAAAAGGTAGTTTAAAATGGACTGCTTGTATAACGTAGAGGACGAGAATGTATCATTCTGGTTGCTTTGTGCTTCTAGCGGGGGGGGGGGGGGGGGGGGGGGGGGGGGATGGGACGGGTGGGGCGGGGTTAGTTTCTTCGTGCATAAGAGCGAACTTCAAATGCTATATTCGGCATACATCCCTAACGTGCAAACGTTTATCTACAAGTCGCATGTTAGAACCAAGACAGAGCTGACAGATATATGTCAGCTCCTGTCTTTAATGTGATACTGTCCATGAAGATGTTCATTTGACCTGATTCCATGTGTTAATATATGTTATATATTACTATGAATAAAGTCTAACGTATTACACTGTGTTAAGTATACCAAGTGTTGCCCAAAACATGCTCCATTTCTGGTGCCCCCGCCCTGATATTACTGGGATATTGCTGAAAGCGGCATGACACCATACTTATACTTCAAAGATGCATCATACCGTTATCAAACGTACGAATAATGTATTACATTTAATGCCAATATTGCAAATAAAAGACTCTAAATAAAAGCGACAAAAAGCCATTTCCATAATCATAAGAAATCTCTGCTAAAAGCAAATAGGAGTCCGACTGTCATGAATTTGAGGTTATAAATCACTATTAAATGTAGCCTTTTCATGATATCTGTTTCGAAAACACCGATCTAGCAGTTAAACCGATGTCAGATACACGAATTCCGCTGTGGCCTTGTTGTGAAATATTACAGATCCCGATGGACAAATGCATAATTGATGCAGCGACAGAAAGCCTGGTGTGACACAAAGGCAGGTGTGACTCATAGTGATGGAAATCAACATACAAATATATACCCACGCCCGATTTCCTCGTTGACAGGGCTCGTGTTAATTCCAATAAGGTCGCATGAATTGACCAGTCGTGACCGAAGTGTAACTACCATGACTGACAAGGTAAAATGCTGGTACATTGCAATCAATAGCGAAGCGTAACGTTGCGCTCAGATGTTCAGCGCTGAAATATACAGCTACATACATTGTAGATTTCACGATGTCGATATACAGTGTCCCTTCAAGGGTTAAATACTGCGCACAACAGCTGGGATTCCAATATGGTTATTGAGTTTATATCACCGTTGTCCATTGCTGTCAGTAGGGTCATCAGCTATCATGTCAATTTCTGCTGTAATTAATGTACTCTCCACCAGAACCTATGTATCGGTAAATTACAATCACGTATTCTTGATAAACATAGTTGGAATATATTATGGAATTTATTAAATAAAAATACGATTGTTTTTATATAAATGGTACATATTGGGTGTCAATATTTCATAGCCAATAGAAAATAAATATTCTAAAACGTTTTGATGCCATCGGTTTGTCGGTAACACCATGCGTTTTCGACAATAAAATTAAACTATGATGTCATAAATAGATTGTTTGATAACGCATTTAAAGGGCCCTTTAAACTTATATTCAGCAGCAGGGGTAGGGATATGAACTTTTCTTGTCAATTAGTTTGATGTTGTTTTTCAATTAAGTCCTTGGTTGTCGTTAGGCTATCTGAAGATTTAGTTACTTTGAATGGTTAAGTTGTATGCAAACAAAACTGGCTCACAAGGCATGTTCGAAAACATTTGACATTTTCGTTTAGTTGATACTCCACAAACACGAATCAGATGTTCTCCAGTCCACGGGCTTGTCAAACAGGGCTAAACAAGCAGAACAACATGTTACAATAAACTACAAACTGCTTTGATTTTATTTACTGAAGTAAAGTAACACTTTTTAACTTTACTTTTTTGATATGTAAAACAAGCCAACACAATATCTGTCATGACGTATATGCTCTGTATTAGGTATACGGGAAAACAAATTATTTCAAAATATGATTAAATTATCATATTTTAATAACCAAATTCATTGTCGTAAAACTGAAGAAGTTAGGGTCCAATTTGTGGCGTCCGATTTCATTTTTGCTATATAGATATATAGAGAGAGGGGGGCACAACGTTTCTGGTGGTGTTATTTTTTTAACATTGTTGAAAATACTTTTCAAAACAATACATTTATAGCAAAATTCATTGTCGTAAATTTGAAGATCCTTTTTCCGTCCAATATATGGGGGTCCTTTCACATACTTTTCACGCGTAAACACAGGCATAACATGACATTTGCGAAGATGCCTTTCCAATGGATAAAAGAAGTTGTTAGAACCACGGAAATATTCAGTCAAATGTATACAGCCTTTTTCTGAGCGGTCACTGTTGACAGAAGGCACGATATCTCTTGCAATTACGTGATACCGTGTTTGTCCGAGCAGAGAGGTATGCGGCGACGAGTGGGAGACCGACTCAGTTCGATATTTCGTCTGAATGAGTGGCATTGCCCGACGTCAGGGCAAACGACTTAGTGTAAGTCAGAATATACACACGGCCGGCGTACACACGATCTATAAAGAATTCTAAAAAAGCAAATTAGCAGGAAGACGCAACACGTCTGTGATCAACACGTCTGGAAGATGTTCGATTTACGCTGACATCGCGTGTGATATCGTGCCCCGTTGTAAGACAGTTTGCTAAGGGGCTTTAAATCACTCAGCAGTTCAATAAAGTAAGCACAGGTTAGTGGATTGAATTTGGCGGCAACTTACCAAGTGTGCAGACGACAGTCAGAGCTGCAAGAAGGGTACGATCCACCGGCCTGCCTAAAACTGCTATCACCCACCACATCGTTTTCCCGTCACCATCGTCTGCTAAATCACTCGTCGTCTGATGGGTAAACTGTCTCAGGTCTGATGAAGACGGTACAATCCAAGGAAATCACCACTTCTAAATCCGGTCTTCTGGTACCAAAGCTAATTCCTGCGATTCCACCAGTTCTACAAACTCTTGCAACGCTTCGCTGTATCTATCGACTATTTGTTGACTTATTAAAAGGCGCTTGCCGTAGTGCCCTTTGCTTTGTGAAGTGAGCAAGGAATATATACATACGCAGTCCGTCGCCAGTTTATAAAATAACACAAGCGTACACACACTCGACTGCTCGTCCAATGGGCTAGCGTAACAGCGAAACGCCTCTCCCTTCTGTGCAGATTAATGGGCCTCCGAGCGGAGAGCCAGCGTACAATAGCGTTAGAGCCAACACGCTTAACGTAAAGCGCTCGCCAGACTATGGCACAGTGCTATCACCACGCTGTAGGAGCCCGGGGGTAGGGTCGTTTGCCGATGACAGCGATATGGTCACTGACTGCCCACGCCCCCTGACACCCTCCAATCCAAATCTCCCTCCAGTCTTTGCTTATCCCTAGAAGCATGCAGTCGCGATTAAACATGGTATTATTAGCTACAGCAACATTGTCAACCCCGAGAGATGCTAAACATATGGGGCTGAGATAAGTACTTAGAAAATCACCGCCGGCTTCTCCAGTCCAGGACTGGCTCGTGGTGCTGACGCTTGATACGGTATATTCAGTCAACGCAACTTCGGATTTAATTTTGCGAGAAATTGCCGTGTTGCCTTCCTCGTCGTTCTACAAACCGTTGCCTGAGAAGCATGTGTTATTATTGATCACGCAGTGCTGTTCTTTGTAATCCTCCGATGAATGAGTCGCGATAATGCTGCCCCAAAAATAAGGTACGCGTAAGCCTCGTGTTAGTCTACATACATCCCATGCGGTTTCGCTGATGCACCTGTATGGCACATCGAAGTGACGCTGTCTCTTGTAGCAAGACCAAATTCTTTATTGTATTGAACAGTTAACACCGAATCGGCATTGTTTAGACGCTTGAAGCAGTCATAAAATCACAATTGGTTAGACCATCACCATGGTATCCTTTTTGTCAGAACGAGCATTGATTTTAATATAAAGAATGCTTGAATACATATACATACGCCAGATTTACAAGCATCTTGGAGTGAAGTGTTTTAGGTGATATTCTGTGACGTAGCCGTACAACCGTGAGAGCTTGCTAATAGCTGTAGCGCAAACAACCTACAGGCTGTATTGGACTGAGAGAATTGAGGGACTCGTTCCCCCAGCGCAATAGCTTATTAGCGTGTTGCAATCATTGGAATGAAGGGTCGTTACGGTTTGGTTGATTTTACAGTTATTATTCGTACATGTACAGGTTTTATGAAACAGCAACAAATACGAATGGAGGTTTTGTGAGTGAGTAAGGCTTTACGCCGCTTTTAGCAATGTCCAAGCCCTATCGTGGTTGGGGACACCAGAAATAGGCTTCACACGTCGGGAATCGAACCCGGGACTTCGGCGCGACGAGCGAACATTTTAACCATTTGGCTACCCCCGAGTTTAGTGATGACGAGATCCGGGTAGAGAATAGTTCTTCAGCAACCCATGCTTGCCGTAAGAGTGAGTTTGTGAGTTGGGTTTAACGCCGCTTTTAACAGTATACCAGTTATATCGTGGCGTGTCAGCTTAATGTGGGAGGAAAGCCCGAAGTGATGCAGGTCTCAGACGTTTACCACTTTGGTGAAACCCACGAGCACTTTGCCGTAAGAGGCGACAAACGGAACTGGGTGCCGGGTCAGGCTCGCTGAATTTATTGATGCATATCATCGTATCCCAATTGCGTAGATGATCATAATGTTAATCACTAGATTGTCTGGTCCAGATTCGATTATTTAGAGACCGCCGTCATATGGCTGGAATGTTGCTGAGTGCGGCGATAAACAACAAAGAAAGTGATATATGGATCCAGGACGAACCATGGCCTTTTGTCACTACTCGCACCTTTCTGTAACAGCGTGACACGAGTTGGTCACGAATAGAACCGTGGCCACACTACACCGTAGACTTGCCCGGTTAGTTAGGTCCCCACCAACCCCTGTCTATCGTACGCGGCGAGCGATTGGCCAGGCTCGGTGACCTGGCGTATCATTGTACCCGGACGGGGGACGATGCTCACACTATCAATCACTGGTTTTGACTGTTTACAGACCACTGTCATAAAGCTGGAATATTGTTAAAAATACAACATTTAGTCCCAGAAAAAATAGTTTTCTGCAAAACAAATTATAGTAAAATTCAAACGGAGCCCCAAAACCATGCGTAATTTCTGGATCTGAGGTAATCTAGACTTGCTCAATCATTCTAGACTTGAGTTGGATTTATTTAGATTTATAATTAATTCTCTAGGGTCTGGCAGACAGACGACAAGGCGGGCTACGGTGGTTAATAATAAAGGCAGGTGGTTTAAATCTAGCAGCTCATGAATGGTTTGCTATAACGATCGATCGTCAGAAGTAATTGTTATGCGCCGTTTTGGGTATTTTGAAATTTGTGATTAAACTTTCGCTAAATTGAAAACTGGCACCAAATCATTTTCGTGGCCAACTCATACTTGTTCCATTGACGTTCATCCTAACTCCCATGTGCAAGCCTACAGTCGTATTGGGAAAGTAGGCAATTTACCACACGAATGAGATAACAAATTACGTTCACATTTCGTGAACTGAGTAGAATAAGCCATTTCAGGATTTTTTTACACTTACATAATATGCTGCTCAACTGTTGTTGAATATTTGATGCATTTACGGGCTAGTGAGTGAGTGATTGAGTGAGTTTGGATTAGCGCCTCTTTAAACACAATTTCAAATCATGGCGCCTCTGTGTAATGATGGAGGAATGTCGCTAGTGGTGCAGGTCTTAGACGTTTACCACTGCGGGACTCGAACCAACGACAATATAGGTTCCTGGCACGCCAAGGGACGCAACTCGTCATCGCGAATTGAGGCGTCTTCTAGGCCAATGGCTTCCACAGTATAGCGGTTCAACGCCACTTTGGATAATATATGAGTTTTATCACGCCGGGTCGGCTTATTGTTGAGGAAAGCCGAACGATCACAGGTCGTAGATCCTTCTTTTTACATAAACCTACCAAAACACGTGTTGTGCTGACCAAGGCTCATAATCGCATATATACGGCAAAGGGACGTAACTGTGTACAGCCTATTGTGTCGCCATTAAACAGTGTGGATATCCCTTGGGTACAGCACGACGTACATAAGTGGCCCAAGCTGTTAGGTTTAAGAATTTGGTGTCATTATCAATCTCTTTGAGAGATGGATGACGTTTTACTCTGTCCAAAATTATAAGTTGCACGTATTATTTTCAAATATCTTTCCGCACAAACCCTTCGCGCTTTCTTTTGAAAGAGCCAGTTCAGGTTTAATGCAAAACAGCCTCACACGTGAAAAGAAGCTAATTAGTTTAGTTCTTTGAGGTTCCTTTTTTCTAATCTGGTTCTTCCTCCAGCACACAGCTCGCAATACGGACCAATACGTCACATCTATAAGTCTGTAATATAACGTCACTTTAATGAAAACGTACTACACCTAGCTTTCAAAAATAAAGAAAAAACAGGCCTCTAATCTTATTACTCTCCGATAAGCACAGGAGCTTCTGAGGGCTTAACTCAAGCCAAATTGATATTTTCTGTGTTTAAACCTTTTCAAAAGAAAAAATATTGATTTAATCAGTGCAACTTACGGGCAATGAAACCGGGGCGAAAGTCCGAAATGTCATACATGGGACGTTAAAAAGACATCGACCTGATCTCCAAATGTAAAGGAACTCATTTTAGGTCATAATATAGGGAATTTAAGAGCCTTGGTAACATTTATGGTCAGAATGACTTTAATGTCTGTTTCACATCCTGTCCCTGATCCCTTCATCAATAACAAAAAATCCTCGCCAGAGGATATAATACGCTTCTGGAAACGTAACCGTCGTCCATACGTCATCCTCATTGTTTGAACAATGACAATATTAATTAATAGACGACTGATAATTGCCACGATTGTAGATATGATTGACAGCTGATAATACTCAATATCACTACTGCTAGTTCCTTTACATGATCGGCCTCTGGAGCTTTGATCATTTGTGATAAACAAGCCATCGTTTTCCTGCAATTAGGACATCAAAGGATTGCCGCCCAGGTAGTTAAACAAAGCATGGAAATAAAATATGACGAAGGATTCATTAAAACCCAAAGTTCTGTTACGATTTCTTGAAAATCATGTTGCAAATTAAGATAAAGGAGGGCTTGGACAACATCCAAGAGAGATTTATTATTACATGCATTAGCGTGGTCGACGTTATTGTTCTGGTGGTGGTGGTTAGCGCAAGTCGGACCTGGGAAGATCGCGGAGCTGTTTCGTCAGCGTCTCTGGATGTACGAAAACCATTTCGTGTTGTGCAAATCACATTTTGTAAGATGGTTGTTTTAGAGACGGTTCTACATCTTGGTTTACAAGACGACATGGTTTCTTTGGAATTGTTATAATTGCAAAATCTTCGCTGAGGATTCCATTATTCTAGTTTCGTGTAATTACAGACCGGTGCCCGTTTTTTGCCAAACCATTTTCGTTATAATAGGATGAATTAAGATCTGCATCCTCTCCGGTCCTATTCCAAGACTTTTTTTCATTCCAAGAATCGTTTTATTTCAGCGCTAGAGAAAGGACGGCATACTGTAAGAGCAACACGCGCGGTATCGTGCAGTGAAGATGTATTGTGTGTTGTGTGGTGTGTGATGTCTGTTATGTGTTGTGTGATGTCTGTTATGTGTTGTGTGATGTCTGATGTCTGTTATGTTTTGTATGATACATGATGTCAGTTGTCTGATGTGTGCTCTGTGATGTCCAATGTGTTTTTGTTGTTGTTTGTTTGTTGTTTAACGCCACACTCAGAAAGTTGCGAGTAGTGACAAATGGCCACGGTTCGTCCTGGATCCATATAACACTTTCTTTCTCAGCAACATTCCAGCTACATGACGGCGGTCTCTAAATAATCGAAACTGGACCAGACAATCTGGATCCATATATCACTACGTCATCACTTTGTTTGTTGTTTAACACCGAACTCAGCAATATTACAGCTATATATATATGACGGGGGTCTCTAAATAATCGATTCTGGACCAGACAATCCCGTAATTGACATCATGAGCATCGATCCATGCAATACAATAGCATGCATCAACCAAGTCAGCGAGCCTGATCACTAGTCCCGTTAGTCGTCTTTTACGACAAGCATAGTCGCCTTTTACGGTAAGCATTGGTTGCTGAAGACCTATTCTACCCCGAATCCTCACCGGTCTGTGTGTTTACCCGACAATTTGCATCAATATGGCGAAGTAACAAGCAATTGCTTCC